CGGCCAACTAAATAATATGAAAACAATTAGGCGGCGGGTGGGCTCTCATGCCTGTAGAACCTAGCTTCTTCTGGGAGGCCGGGCGGGCGGATTGCTCAAGGTCAGGAGTTCAAAACAGCCTGAGCAAGAGCGAGACCCGTCTCTACTATAAATAGAAAGAATTAATTGGCAACTGATATGTATATAAAAAATTAGCGGGCATGGTGGCGCATGCCTGTAGTCCAGCTACTCGGGAGCTGAGGCAGAAGATCGCTCGAGCCCAGGAGTTTGAGTTGCTGTGAGCTAGCCTGACGCCACGGCACTCACTTAGCCTGGACAACAAAGCGAGACTCTGTTCAAAAAAAAAAAAAAAAGAAAAAATTAGCCAGGCATGGTGGCGCGTGCCTGTAGTCCCAGCTACTTGGGAGGCTGAGACAGAAGGATCGCTTGAGCCAGGAGTTTGAATTGCTGTGAGCTAGGCTGACCCATGGCACTCACCTAGCCGGCAAGAAAGTGAGACTCTGTCCAAAAAAAAAAACAAACTCTAATACCAACCTTAATTCACCACCCTCAATGGGTCAGCGTATCATTGTACATTATAACTGCCCAAATGCAACTTTTCCTTTGCCTTACCTCAGGAGGCTCAATGAAGGCTAACCAGTCTGATGCATGTGTAGGCAACAGTCCATGGACTGGCACTTGTAAACAGCCAAAGCCAAGCCCATCAGGTTCCCAATAAGATAGACCAAACCCTGAAGAACTCTGCTTGAACTTTCTAACATTTTGAAAGCTGTTGGGGCAACAGAAGTGTTAAAACAAAACAACTTTTTTCCCCAATATAAATTAAACCAACAATACATATATAGACAGACCCACAGTAAGATGCAAACAGGACCATTAAAGGCAAACGAAACCATAAGTACTATTTCCCCTCCCATGCCACTACATTACCTCCACCACCCTGCAACCCTCCAGCCAAAAACTGCCTAAAATTGCTTTTAATTCTTAAAAGTTAAGGATCATTCAAGAATACTTACTGGCTGAAATGGCCATAAGTGCCTGAATGGGTCGCAGGCATCATACACACCATCATAGTAGGAAGATGGAGATAGTATTGCCTGCCATGTACATGAGAAGAGGTTCATGGGATCTGTTTGAGGGACCCAAGGCAATGTCCCAGCAGCGCTAAAACAAACACAAAATTTAACCTCTGATCACATACCCTCAGTCCTACATTTATGATATCACTAATGCTAAAGTCAAACAGAAGAATTACCAATTCCTTGCTTCTGACTGAGCTGCCTCCTCAATTTCATCACTCCTTCCATTCTACATGTTACCACAGAAGGCTCGTCTCCTACTAAAGATAAGGCATCCTCACCATCTGCTGTGCTTTTCCCCATAGGTTTTCCAGATGTCATTTTATCTGCTGATTTTTGGTTAAAAGATTCCCCTGTTTCTTCTGCATCTATCATTGTCCCACCTACAGTTGAAGAGAGTAAATCCACCTAGTGGATTAGCACACCTCAATCAATAACTAATAGAACTACTGAAATGTTTAGTTCCAGGAAAAAAAAATGAACTAACAGACGAATCAAGATATAGAAGATGTGAATGACATTAACAAATTAACCTAATGACATTATACATAACATTACACAACAACTGCAGAATTCACATTCTTTTCAAACACAGGGTATTTACAAAACTACTGCTGGGAGGAGGGGGCGGTATATACAACATAATGAGTGAGATGTGACCATCTGGGGATGGTCACACTTGAAGCTCAGACTTGGGGGGTAGGGGGTCAAGGGCATTATTTGAAACCTTAAAATTTGTACCCTCATAATATGCTGAAATAATAAAACACTTGCTGAGCCATGAGAAAATGTCAATAAATGCAAAGAACTCAAATGTACAAAATATGTTATTTGACTACAATGCAATTAAAGCTAGAATAATTTAACTAGAAAATCCCTATGGTTAGGATAACAAATGTACTCTAATTCATGAATCAAAGAAATGACAATGAAAAATAGAAATATTGTTACCTGACAGCAAATACACATATTAATAATTTGTGGGACATAGCTAGAGCTCTGAGAAATCTATAACCTTAAACACAGATTAGAGACTAAAAAACTAAGCATCCATTTTAAGAAGCTAGAAAAGAACAATTAAACCAAGGATTTTGAAAATAAAAATGAAGAGCAGAATTAAAATTAAAGCCAAAAGCATTTTTTGGAAAGATCAAGAAAATCAATACTGGTGAATCTGATAAAAAAGAAGCCAAATATTCAATGTCAGGAATGAACAAAAGGACATCTCTACAAATCTTGCAGATATTAAAAGTGATCACATTATGAACACTTTATTCAAAACATTTGAAATTTAGGAAATGGATAAATTCCTAGAAAAAAAAATGAGTTATCAAAATGGCAAAAGAAATTCTGTTAAATTAACTGAAGGAAGCCAGATGCTCCCTTAGCAAACTCTATTAAACATTTAAGGAAAAATAAAGCTAATCTTACATAAACTCTTCCAGACAATAAAAAATGAACATTCTACAACTCATGACACGGGCCTCATAATACCAAACGTGACGAGGACATTAGGAGAAATAAACTTTGCCAATATTACTCATGATCTAATGGAGAAACTAAAATTTAAAAGTAAATCTATGCTATAAAAAAAAACAGGCCATTTTAATAATAGCTTACCCCATGTACTACTCATATTACACTTTGATGTACCAAGATGAAAATGATAGGATGATACTTTTCCAGGATCTATAATGGCTGTCATTTTCATATTGTGAAAATCACATTATTCCATGAAACAAAGATCATTTAGTATTGAGTAATATTAAGGCTAGGAAACAAATGTGAAAGTGCCAAGCACTGTTCCGGGCACCTTGGGATACTCAATAATCCTCCTCTCAACAGGGGCAGGGGGCTCATGCCTGTATCCTCACGCGAGGAGGCCAAGGCAGGAGGATCATCAGGTCAGGAGTTCAAAACCAGCCCCTGGGAGCAAGAGTGAGACCCCCGTCTACTAAAATAGAAAGATTAGTGCCAACTAAAATATAGAAAAACAGGCAGGCGAGCAATTGCTGTATCCAGCTACTCAGGTGGCTGAGGCAGAAGGATTGCTTGAGCCAGGAGGAGTTTGGCTTGTGAGCTAGGCTCCACGGCACTCTAGCTGAGCAACAGGTGAGACTCTGTCTCACAACAACAACAACAACAAAAATCTGCTCTCATGGAACTTACAAAAATGATAAGGCAGATGGACACAAACAATAAGTAAGCTGTATCATATATCATGGATGATATGGGGAATATAAAGTAGGTAAACGGAAAGGACTGCCATGAGAGTAGGCTTCACTAAGAAAGTAACATTTGAGAGACCTAAAGAAATGAGTGAGCAAATCATGAAGGTATCGGGAAAGAACACTCCAGAAAGAGAGAAGAGACAAAGCCTGAACCGATCAGGCGTGGTGGCTCACGCCTGTAATTCCTAGCACTCTGGAGGCAGAGACAGAGGATCGCTCAAGGTCAGGAGTTCAAAACCAGCCTGAGCAAGAGTGAGACCCCCGTCTCTACTATAAATAGAAGAAATTAATTGGCCAACTTAAATATAGAAAAAATTAGCCAGGCATGTGCGCATGCCTGTAGTCCCAGGTGCTTGGAGGCTGAGGCAGAAGGATCACTTGAGTCAGCAGTCTTGAGGTTGCTGTGAGCCTAGACTGATGCCAGGCACTCTAGCCGGGCAACAGAGAGACACGCTGTCTCAAAAATAAATAATAAATAAAGCCTGAGACCAGAGTTTTGTCTGATATCTTTAAGGAGCAGCAAGGAGGCCATTATGACTACAGTGAGTCAACAAAGGGGAAAATGGTAGAAGAGGTCAAGATGCAAGTGGCACTGACCAATGCCAAGTTATGTAGAACACTAAAAGACTTTGACTTGTATGCTGAATGAAATGGGGAATAAAAGTTTTGAGTAGCAATGATCTGACATTGGATCATTCTAAATGCTTAGGATCATTCTATGCTGTGCTGGGAAGAGACTACAGGGAGTAAGTTGCTAAACTAGTCACAAGTCTGCTGCAAAGAGGGACACAAGAAATCATTTG